CCCGAACTGATCAGGACCGTAAGCTCAACGCATAGTCCGCCAAAAGTTGGCCGCAGTCGAAAGACCCGATCCATTGACGACGTAGGACAAGCCGGGCAAGAGGCGAATCCGAACCGAAACGAAACGCACCGAGACGATGACAAGGCCCCCCGCTCGACACGTCCTCAAGCCATGGAAAAAACCAGCGCTTCGCGAGAGACATCCTCAGCACGTCCCGCGGGAGGAGCCGTTCGCTGCAGGCGAGGGCTTCGCTAGAGACATCCGCAGCAAATCCTACGGAGCGAGCGTCTCGACCTAGACTTGGGTCGGGCATGCCCCCTCTACAGGCGGATTTTGGACGAAGACTTGAAGATAGCCAAACCATATTCAAAAATGCTCTAAATAGACCCAAAATCGTCGCCAGACTATTTGGTTGACACTTGTTGCATCTTCCTCCTGTAAAGGGATACGCCCGACTCAACCCTAGACGTCCTCAACACGTGCTCTGGATGGCCTGCGTGGCTGGGCACTACTCACATGCTGATGATCCGCGCGGGTGGCACTGAGCACGCGAAGACCCGGGTGTTCGCTCGGGGCGTCCTCAACCCATCCTCGTGCGAAGGATCCGCCTGGGCGGCGCGGAGCAATACATGAAAACATGTGGCCCCCTTGCTAGGTTTTGTATTAAATCATTCAAATAATGATGTTGTTATTGGTCCAGACGGCATTGAACTTCGTATCTAAAGGTCTTGATCGTGTTTTTTCGCCGTTTCCTCGCCCTATTGTCTGCTTTATTCTGAGATTCGGAGCCTGGCCATTTCGGCGATTGCATCATGCGTGCAAGCACGTTGGCCCCTTGTCTTCGCGCCAGGGCGGGACAGCAGGAAGACACGTGGGCCCCATGCGCCCCAGAGCGGCGCAGATGTGAGAGCACATGGGCCCCTGTTGTCCCAGGGCGCAGCAAGTGGGAAACTACGTGGGCCCCTTGCGCCCCAGAGCGGCGCAGGCGTGAAAACACATTGGCCTCTCCGTCCAAGGGCGGCGGAACACGCGGGAGGAGAGCAGGGCTCAGAATCCTGGCAGCTGTCGCGTTCTGGGGAGAACGCAACACGCGCGAGGATGTCCAGAGTCTCGGGATCTTCGCAACTGTCGCGTCCTGGAAGGGGCGGAACACGCGGGAGGAGGCCCAGAAGCTCAGAATCCTCGCAACCGTCGCGTTCTGACGGGGGGGGGAAGGGGGCAGCACGCAGGCGGAGGTCCAGAGGCTCGGACTCCAAGCAGCCGTCGCTTTCTGGAAAGGGCGGGGCAGGCGGGAGGAGGTCCAGAGGCTCGGAGTCCTCGCCGCTGTCGCGTTCTGGGCGGGCGCAACGTGAACCCCTTTCGCCCCAGGGCGCAGCACGCGTGAAACCACATGGGCTTCTTCCGCCCCGAGGCGGAGCAAGCTCGCCCCAGAGCGGAACAGGAGTGAAGACACGTGAGTCCCTGTCGCCCCAGAGCGGAACAAGCGTGCAAGCACGTGGGTGCCTTTCGCCCCAGAGCGCAGCAGGCGTGAAATCACATTGGGTCCTCTGCGCCCCAGAGCAGAGCAAGCGTGAAACCACGCGGGTCCTCTTCGCCACACAATGCAAAGAGCGTGCGAACACGTGGCCCCCCCAAGGAAGCTCGGGCAGACCTCCCCAGAGCCCCAAGACGGAACGTGCTAAGGGATACTGCATCTAATGCCGATTCGTTGAGTTATGCATCTAGTGCCGATTCGTTGAATGTGCCTCCCTGACATTTGGGCGGGAGGACTGGTGGCCAGGACGCGTGACAACACGTGGGCTCCTTTCGACCCAGAGCGCAGCAAGCGTGAAAACACCTCCGTCACTTTGGCTCCAGACCGCAGCAAACGTGAACACACATTGGTTCCTTTCGCCCCAGAGCGGAACAAGCGTGAAAACTCGTGGGCCCCTTTCGCTCCAGAGTGCAGCAAGCGTGAAAACACGTGGGCCCCTTTCGCCCCTGAGCACAGCAAGTGTGAAAACACGTGGGTCCTTTCGCCCCGGAGCGCAGCAAGCGTAAGGGAGTGTTTTCACGCTTGCTCCGCCCTGAAGCGAAGAGGACACACGTGTTTTCACTTTTGCTCTGCCCTGAGGCGGATGGGATCCACCTTATTTCACGCTTGCTGCGCCCTGAAGCGGAAAGGACCCACGTGTTTTCACGGTTGTTCCGCCCTGAAGCGAAACGGACTGGGGCGAAAGGGACTGCCTCTCCACTTCTCCAAAACGAGCGTTTCGCTCATCCTCAACGTTTCTGCGCGCAGGACGCGCCATCCTCGAGCGGGGGCGCAATGAGTCTACATTTCCATACGTTTGAAATTTCAGGGTCTCCATACCATTAATTTATCACGGGTTCCGCAGAAAGCGCTCCGCACCCTTTTTTCCAAAGGAAAGCGGGAGACAACGGACCTCGTCATTTATCACGGAACCGACGTGGGGCGTCTACCTTGAGCGGGGACGCGCGGAAACATTTTTTTCCCGCGCAGAATGCGACTTGACCTCGTGTTGTATCGAATTCAATTCCGCCGACCTCCCCCCAGCATGGCACCCAAGGACACATTTACAAACTAAAAGAGAACCCTGGGCCGGAGCCTTTTCCGGGAGAAAAGGCCGGTGCCCTTTCAATGAGAAAAGACCCGAAGAGGCTCAAACCCTAGATTTTCTGTATGCGTTTGAAGGATTTGGGCGCTTCATTCTTTTCGGCCTTCCGACGGTTCCAGAGGCTCCCAAGATCGCCCCAGAGGCTTTCAAGATGGCCCTATACTGCCCAAGAGGGCCCTAAAAGGGCCCCAAGACGGCATCATAGGCCCCCAAGACGGCCAAGATAACTAACCTCCCAGACGGCCCTGTTTGCCCCCAGAGCGCTCCCAGACGGCACAGCGATGCGCTCAAGACGGCCTCAAACGGCGTCCGACGGGCCAGGAACGCCCGAAGACAGCCAAAAAGGCTCCCAAGAAGCCCCCAAGAGGCTCGAAGACCCCTCAAGAGGCCTCCTCCTACGACGGCCGGCCCCGAGACGGCCCCATAGGCCTCAAAGCGAACCCGAGCACCGTCTTGAGCGCCCCGGATCGGCGGCACTGGCCAGAGGCCACTTCAATGAGACGAGGGGCCATGAAATCTGGGGAGATATCATGGCCCCCGCAATGATATCCCCCCACCCCCTAGTCTTCGGTTGGGCATGTCCTCCTGCAGGTGGAATTAGGAAGAAGAACAAAAAAGCCAAAGAAATAAGCAAACATATTCACAAATAGTCGAGAACTTGTCCCCAGAGCATTCTGTTACACTTCTGGAATACTCCTCCCGTAAAGGGACACGGCCGACTTAACCCTAGTCATCACCCCCCCCTCTTGGCTGCCTTCGACCAGCGGCCCGACCAATGGCCTCGGCCCCCTGCCCGGCTCGGCGCAGGGATCGGCTCGGGTCACTGGCGGCGCCAGCCCTCGCTGGACGAGGCAGGCCAAGCTCGAGGGACGGGGGCGGGAGGAGGGCGCTCCGTCCAGGGCAGGCGGCGTGCGACTGGAGTCAGTGGGCGACTCTCGCGGGAGAAGAGGCGCAGGTGCACTGCAACTCGTGCACCACCGGGTGGACGGTCGCGTCCACCCCTTCCATCTTCTTCCCCTCATGCGCATGAAGAGGGCTACACGGCCACCGTGCGATATAGTCGCAGGTTGTGCCTGGCCACAGGGTGTCTCCAGAACGACTGCGGGAACGACTGGCGGTCAAGGGCAGACAACCTGTCTATGACCAGCTTGAGCGCTGCATCAGGCCCTCTGTGGTCGGTGTTCGCGGGCGCTGCCAGAACTCCCTGCGGTATGAGGGCGAGCGCCCCCATAAGACTTGGATGTGGTATCCAACAAGAGCTTGTGGTAACGACTGCTGCAGCATGCATCACATGCAGTAGCGCGGTCCGTTCCATCAGAAAGCGCAAGCTCGAGAAATCGGCACGACGAGCGCGGTCTTGGCGGGAACAGGTGTAAGGGAAAGACGGTACTACGAGGGAGAGTAGAGGGGGGAGCGAGTGCATGGAGGGTTGGAAGAGGGAAAACGAAGTGAATATCGGGGGTGGTGGCAAAAGGATTGAGCACGTACAGGGTGAATCTGGCGAAGGAGGTGGGGGCCACTGCTAGTTGAGACAAATGACAAAAACGGAAATATGGGTGCGGAGGGACAGTGGCACTGCATGCTTGCGCTTGGCTCGTCGTCTGCCTCCTGAACATCGTGGTCGCCTTCCTCATCCTACCACTCCCCCTCGCTCTCGCCCTCGCTCGCGACCTCCCTCTCCTTCCCCTATTCTCTTGCCCTCCCCGTTCAACTCGCCCTCCTCGTCCTCCTCTCGTCGCCCTCTTCTTCCCCAGATCGTCGTCCTAGCTCCTCCATCCCCTTCTCTGCCGGAGCGGCGGGAACGGCATACGCGCGCTTCGCTCGCCTAGCAAACCCCGGCGCAGTCGAAGGTAGCCCCTTCTCCCTATTCTCACCTCCCCCTCCTCCTCCTCCTCTTCCTGCTCTTCGTGCTCCTCTGCTCTCCTCCGGCTCATTCTCCCCCCCCACCCCTCTCTGGCCCTCCTCCTCCGACCCGAGAGGAAGACACCATGGCATACACATAGACTTTCGAGGCTCCGCGCGGATCACGCGGATCGGCGCTGGCCCCCCCTGGCGGCGCATCTGGCGCCGCTCTGTCGCGCCCCGCACGCCATGGAGGGGGATCCAGCGCCGATCCGATTCATCAGAGCGCGGACCTCCGCAAGTCGGGAGAGACAGGAGTGCCACTAGCACCAGCTGGTGGGGTGGCCACTCCCTCCCCTCGTGCTGGTGGCACCTTCTTCCGGAAACTCTCTGGAAGCGTGCCCGGAACGAGGTGCCACCAGCTCGAGAGGGTGGGACAGCCACCCCCCCAGCTGGCGGCAGTGGTGCTTTTCGTCTCTGGTGAGCAAGTCAACGTTTATGCCATGTACTTGTGCTGGATATTCGCGGGAGCGGCCCTGGTCAACCCACGGCCTGCGAGGACTGCGTCTCCATCCGCGCGGACACCGTGTGCAGGGACTGCACGCGCTCTCCCAGGGACTGCACGGCCTCCCGAAGGGGCGGAAGTTCCAACGGGAGGGAGCGGCGTAGACTGTTCGCTTCCCCAGCGCGGTTTCTGGGAGGAGCAGGGCGGAAAGCTGAGGGGACCCTTGGCGGACAGATTGGGAAGTAGCCTATGACAATTCTGGAGAGCGGGGGGAGGGACGAAAGGCCGGGATGGAGGGGGGACAGGACACGATGATGACGAGCAGGGGAGGCGACTACCAAGATGTTGAAGAGGAGCGAGAAAGGCCAGTAGTAGTAGTAGTAGTAGTAGTAGTAGTAGTAGTAGTAGTAGTAGTAGTAGTAGTAGTAGTAGTAGTAGTAGTAGTAGTAGTAGTAGTCACTACGAAGAGTCAAACACTGGACTCCAGACCCTGGCACCAGGAGCAGAAGAATGCGCAGCAGAAATTATTCAGTGGACAGCGTCCCTCGGAAGGGGAAGACGAACAAAGCGGGACGAGAAGGGCACGCGCGGCACACGGAAGGTCATCGTTTCAACGGGCCCCAGACTCCCAGACCGTGGGGCCCTCCAGGGAACCAGGCCTCTCCTCCCGAGCCGTTTCTCTTCGACGACCCTGGGACCCCCCGTCGAGGCTCCTCCGAACGTGTGCTAGCGCTAACGTTAGGTCGGGCCTTTCCTCCTCCTCCAGGCGGGTTTTGGAAGAAAGCGATCGGCCCACGAACCCGGTGAGGGATTGAGAACTGCGAGGCATGGAACCGTTTCTAAGGACCTCAATTGCATCTGCAATTGGGCGGTGCCAGGGGGACATGCCAGGGGGACGCGCCGCGGCACGTCCCAAGGGACGCGCCAGGGGACGTGCCAAGGGACGTACCATAGGGGCGCACCGCGGGACGTACCACTGGGACGCGCTACGGAACGTGCCAGTGCACGTGCCACGGGACGTGCCAGGGGACGCGCCGCGCGACGTGCCAGGGGAACGTGCCAGGGGACGCGCCACGAAACGTGCCAGGGAACGTGCCAAATGACGCTTCAGGGAACGTGCCGGGGAGCGCGTCAGGGAACGTGCCACGGGACGTCCATGATCCATGACCCAGGGACAGGATCCCTAGTAAATTACGCTGCGTCCGCGCTCTCAAGGCCGCAATCCATCGTAAATTAGACTGCGTCCGCTCTCCCTGGGCCACGGTCCCGCGTAAGCTACGCTGCGTCTGCGCTCGCAGGGCCGCGCTCCCTAGTGAATGACGCTGTGTCCGCGCTCCCAGGGCAACGTTCCCCACGAAGTATGCTGTACCCGCCCCCCCAGGGCCCGGACCCCAAAATAGATTACGCAACGTCCGCGCTCCCAGGGCCACGATCCATCGTAAGTTACGATGCGTCAGAGCTCCCAGGGCCACGATCCCTCCTGAATTACGCTGCGTCTGCTCTCCCTGGGCCACGATCCCTAAACTACGTTGCGTCCGCGCTCCCAGGGCCGCGCTCCATCGTGAATTACGATGTGTCCGCGCTCCCAGGGCCACGTTCCCTAATAAGCTTCACTGCGTTCGGGCTCCCAAAACCACCTGGACATCCAGGGGCGCCCAGGCCGCTCAAGTTCTGCAAACCAAGCGTCTCGCTTGGGACATCCTCAAATATTCGGCGTGCAGGGCGTGCCATCCTCGAGCGGGCACGCAACACATTGTTTTTCACCTATTTCCTGATGCATTCCGAAACCTCCAGAGCTCGTGTGTTACCGCGGATTCTGCGCAAAGCGCTCCGCACACCAGTTTTTACGGACCCCGTGATGAAAGAGACCCGAGACCCGAGGCACGTTTTCCTCGAGCGGGCACGCGCGCAACGCTTTCAACTACGGATTGAGTTCTACCTCGGTTCCGCCGAGCGGACATCCGCCGGCCCACTTTGAAGTCGAGACCAGGGGCACGCAACACTGATAGAAAACCTGGGGCCTGTGCCCTTGCCAGGAAAACTCGACAAATAGGCAACACTACTCAAATATAGGCAACAGAGCACGAAACATCGTCACCATGTTTTTTTCTCAGCTGTTCTGCAATCCTTCCCCTGTGGAGGGCCACGCCCGTCTTGACGCATCTTGTGCTTGTCCACCGAAGCCCTCCATGACACGATGCGGGCGGTGTCGCAAGGTCCGACACAGGCTGCGCACGGTCGGTGCGGCCGAGCGGGGTAGACACACACGCTGGGCCAGCACGCATCCTGAAAATCTTGCACTGGCGACAGCGGCGAGAGCTCTCCAGGACCCCCCCCCCCCGCACAAGACCCGTCTTTTCTTCGCGACGAGGGAGCAGAAGGGGTAAAAGTCATGCCCTTCACTTACTTCTGGCGATTGCCATCATAAAGGGACTCGAAGGCGGAACGGCCTTCCGAGAAGGACAGATCTGACCCAGGCGCGAAATCAAGGAACGGAAGGGGGGATAACGAGGGTACATTGCGAACATCAGAGGGGAGGGGGAGAGGGTGGCCACCTTGACGCGCAAGGTGGGACGAGTCTGGTGTCATGATGCGATTGGCTCAGGGTGCGGTCCAGGAGAATCTGGCGGCCCGCGTCTCTGCAGCCCGTGTGGTTTATTAGGGCATCTCCAAAAACCATGGGCATCTTGGAAGGCAACATCATCGAAAGGAGCAATACACAGCTTAAACGTACACTTTCGGGTATCCGCGCGGATTTCTTGGATTGGCGCTGGATCCCCCTCCCTGGCGCGCGGAACGCGGGGCTCGCGCGGCACCGGAGGCGCCGCCAGAGGGGGCCCCAACGCCGACCCCAAAAAATCCGAAAGGACCAGAGCTTATGTTCATGCAATATCTGGCTCCTCAAATCAGGGAATCGAAGAGAACCATGGAGGCCTTGGAACGCATCATTGTCATGACCTCTGGCCCCCCGGGGAAATGAGAGGGGGCAGGCCATCACAGGAAGGCGGCGGGGCTTCTCAGAAACTTTCGCGCCTTCCGAGCAGCCTTGGACACTTTGTCCAAAACCGCAGATGGCTTCTGAGAAGGCGCCAGGACGTCTCAGAAACCCCGGTGCCTGCCGAGGAGCCTTGTGGGTTCTCTCCGAAGCCACGGGCGGCTCCTCGGAAACAGCGGAGGTTCGTGCTGTCCTCAGCACCGAAGTTGGGCGCGAAGGGGGGCCTTCTGGAAAGCCAGACGGCGTCTTGGAGGGCAGGAGGCCTCTCACAACCTTGTTGGGAGCCTCTAAGAGGCCCGCGCCTTCTTAGACGCCCCTGCCTTCTGAGAGGCCCCCGCCTTCGAAGACGCCCTTTGGCTTCTCAGACGCCCCCCCCACGCCACCCACGCCACCCTCTTGTGCGTACCTCGCGCCTGTCGGCGGCCTGCGAAGCGTTGCCTGCGCGGCCCCGTGGGTAAACCACAAAGCCTCAAGACACAGGCGCGTGTCTAACATCTGAAGGGAAATCAGCAAAGACCACCGCCACCTGGAACTCATCGGGGGGAGCAAGACCCTGGGGCGATGGCACGCCTGAGCGTTGTCCGGCAATGTCAGTTGGTGATGAACAAAACATGCGGCTTGTGCGAATAAGGAAAGAAGTGTCCTTTCTCGGGCGAGTCGACCGCCAAATTGAAACACCCAGCGGCGGCGCCGGTGATGAGCGCAGACGCCTGGCCGCCAGCGAGAAGGCGACAAACCCAGCACGCACTGGAGGAGAGGGGGGGCGGGAGGCAAGGGCGGCAGAGGCAGGGGCCGTCGGCACCGCCACCGCCGCGTTGATTCCATGTTTCGCAGTCGAACGGAGCGCTCGTCGCCGCGATGGAGGCCCTGCAGGAAGCGGGCCCAGAACACTGGAGTTCTCGCCAGCACCAGCTCGGTCGTTTTTCGGCTGCCTCGGGGCCCGCCGAGGGCCTAGGGACCCCAAAATGGGAAAAACTTGCCTGGGCCCACTTCCCGCAGGACACGCGTCAACCGCGGCGCCCCGCAGCGAGTCCCAAAACGCGAGCCAGCCAGGCGCAGAGCGAAGCTCGGCGCGCCCGAATGGGGCGTGGGAAATGGGCGTGACGTCCACAAGCAGATGTTGTCCGACTCCGCCAGCGGCCGCTGCTGGGCATGGGGCTCGTTGCATCGACCTGTTCACGTTCGCGGCGACACCCACAAGATGCAAAACTGTCGTCGGTGTTCGTCCCCACACAAGCTCCTGGTTCTTCCGCCTCCCATTCCGCGGATCCCCGAGCTCGCCGAGGCCCGGCGCGCACGATTCAAAAAGCGTGTCGCGCCCCGCGAGGTTTATTCATCAGCCCCGGGGGGGTCGTCTCACGCGTTCATATATCAGGTCGGGCGTGTGTCCTCCTGCAGGCGCCTTTTGAACCAAAACTGTAAAATCGACCAGTATTCAAGCATGTGCAAACACGGCAGAAAAGGTAATCCCAGCTTACTGTTTCGACGATTCTGGGATATCATGCCAAAACCGTAAAATCGACCAGTATTCTAGCATATGCAAACGCAGCAGAAAAAGTCATCCCGACTTACTGCTTCGACGACTCTGGGATATTGTGCCTCCTGTGGAGGGACGCGCCCGCCCGAACACCAGTGGGTGCCGCTCGGCCGTCCCAGGGCCCGCGGCCTGGTGGCGGTGGCCCTCTGCTCCTCCCCCCGAGTTAGCACAGGGTAGTTTCTTATACACAGGATCTTTGACAACATAAGATTTGAATGCATGATTCATTCATGAATAACTGTATGCATGAGTTCATCGTTGTTTTTGATACCAAGTCCGTGCATCTGTAACACATGATCCGCACGCGGAGCACGCATTCAAAACGGCGCTGCAAGAAGGCAGCTCCCGAGAGGCCCTCGTGGGACACCCGCGGGACACCGCCTGGCCACCGCTGGACAGCCCCGCGGGGGGGCGCCCCAGCCAGAGGAGGGTTCGTGTCTCGCCCACCTACGCGGCTTCGCCTCGCACGCACGAGCACGAGACTGAACCGATGTGTGAGCGTTCTCTCGTTCCGCGTGTTGACATTGGGCGGAAAGGGGGGGGGAGGGAGGGGGGGTCTGGCTCTGGACCTCTGCTTAGTGCGGCTGTCTGCCTAAGTGCGTCCTATGGGGGAGGAGCTCCACCTGCTCGAGACAGGCGCCAAAAACAGCCAAGATCTACTCCAGAAGGGAGGGGGGGAGGGCGGGGAGGGCCCGCGCCGATCGGCCAAACAATGAATAAGAAACGAGCCCTATCGGATACCACTGGGAGAACTTCATGGAACCAAATGGAACCCCGAGTCGGACCCGGGCCAAGTCAAGCGGCATGAGAAACGGCGATGTGAAACGGTAGTCGGATGGACCAGACCTTCCATCACGGACACACGGGCGCCGATGCTGAATTAAACCTCGCAGGAAACGCACCCGAAGGGCCCCAGAGATCTGTGCGGCGTCCGAGCATTTTCACGTTTACGCATGGGCATCTGGATTGCCCAAGATACCTAGACCTGGTCCGAACGAGGCCACGTTTAGAATCACCGAGTGCGCTCCGGGGGGAACCGCTTGATCTGGGATATAACTCCTGTTACAGGAGTGTACAGGGCAGTGCCAACATGGGGACGAGTGCGCTCCAAAGAAACTCGAGCAGAGTGCAATCCAGCGCAACTCCGGCGCGATGACAGCAGGCCCAAGTCAGGACTTATCCCTGACCCTCCCCTGCCCTCATAGCTCGGGCCTGTGTTTCGTCCAGCCGGATACGGTGGGCGAGCTGCCCAAATCCAACGGCTCCCGGGCTCGTTGGCCTCTCTTGCGCAACGAGGTCCCGACCGTGTCGGCTGCGTCGTGCAATAGCGCTGGCGGAGGAGGAAGGAGGAGGAGGAGGAGGAGGAGGTGGAGGAGGTGGAGGAGGAGGGGGAGGAGGTGCTGGCCTGCCTGGGGCCCTGCAGCTCGGCGGGCGGGCTCCAGCCCGCGCGGGGAGGGGGGCCGAGCCTGCTCCAGCCTGTCGCTGACGGTGCCGCTGTGCTCCGCGTGCTGTCCCCACATGGCTCCCGCCTTGGCCGGCCACGCGCGAGGCTGGCCCAGACATGGATCGCGTCGTCAAAATTAGGCTGGCGAAGGGCCCAACCAGAGGCATGTGTGAGCTCCCTATGGGGCCACGAAGCGTGGGAAGGGTGTGCGGAGATGGGTACGGCGGGCGCATGCGAACGCAGCCATTGGGGCCTTCGGTGGAGCTCCCTACTGGGCTACGCAGCGTGTGAGGGGTGTGCCAACATGGGTGCGGCGGGCGAATGCGAACGCAGCCATTGGGGCATTCGGATGAGCTCCCTATGGGGCCACGAAACGTGCGATGGTTGTGCCGAACTGGGCGCGGCGGGCGCATGCGATCACAGCCACTGGGGCCGTCGGTGGAGCTCAAGGTGGGGCCACGCAGCGTGTGAGGGATGTGCCGAAATGGGTGCTGCGGGCGCATGCGAACGTAGCCACTGTGACTTTCGGTGGAGCTCCCTGTGGCCACGAAGCGTGTGAGGGTGTGCCGAAAAGGGTGCGGCGGGCGCATGCGAACGCACCCACTGGGGCCTTCGATGAAAATCTCTACGGGGCCACGAAGCGTGTGAGGGGTGTGCGGAGATGGGTGCGGCGGGCGCATGCGAACGCTGGCATTTGGGCCTTCGGTGGGATTCCCTATGGGGCCACGAAACGTGTGAGGGATGTGCCAAAGTGAGGGGGTTGACGGGAGGAGGGAGAAGGAGGGGGAGGAGGAAGGAAGGAGGAACGCGGGGACCGTCTCTCCAAAACGAAAACCCGACACCACAAGATGGTTGGGAAAAATCAGGGCGGGATTTTTGCTTGCCAATTTCGTCCTCAGGGGGCCCTCGCCGGGCCTCGGGACCGTCAAAAAACTACTCATGATGAAAACCCGGCCCCGGGAAGAGGGTCTGGACTTCCGGGGACGCCGTCCTGCAAAAATCGGGACGTCGCACGTCTTGGGGTCGAGTGCGCGGGTCGGCCGAGAGCGGCCCAGAGTGCTCTGGAAAGCGAGCTGTGCACTGCAGGAGGCACGGAGCAGAGCATGGCTGGACCAGAGCGCTGTTTCTCGCTTTGGCTTCGTCCTGCTGCTCGTTTTGCTCGACCTGCTTCCCGGCACCTCCCTGCCACAGCGAACACCAAGACGCAGCCGAAGCCCGGCAAAACGGCGCTCAGTAGTAAGTTTCCAGTCAGGCTGCTTCGAGGCTGCTTCGGGGGATCCGCAAACTGAAAGACGCGAAGCGCTCAAAATGAGTCCAGAAGTGAGCCGGCGTCACGAGGATATACCGATCTGACACGAAGGCGCCGAAACTTTACCGAACTTGGGTAAATAATGCTTGGCCAATGCAATCCTCTCTAAATCGGCACTCAACGAAAGGAAACCATGCAAATGCAACTTGAAGGGAGGAGCGGACGGCGGGGGCAAGCTCGGACCACGGAGGTCTTCGCCGACATGCTGCGGCCAAGGCTCGCGCGAGTCGTTGGAGGCGGGGGACCGCACGGGCCGACCACAGCAGGAGCAAAGGAGACCGGCACCGCCACCGGCATCTTTGGACGCCCGAAATGGGTACCGCAAAAATGGGTACAATGCCCAACAGCAAATGTTGTCCCAAACCAACAGCGGCCGCTGTTGGGCGGGCGGCCTCCTGTCTCGAATGGACACAGGCCGCGGCGGCGTGGACAGCAAGCCCTGTTCAAAATGAACCAGATCCGCTGTTGTGCATTGTACCCATTCTTTCCGTACCCATTTCGGGCGTCCAGAGCATCGTGGCGGTAGCCAGGGAGTGTCTCTTCCCGGTGGCCTGATCCCACTGTTCTGCGGCGTTCCGCCCGAGACATCTCCAATGTGCGGCTCGGGGGGGATCCCCGGGTTTAGAGAAAGGACCGGCCCCGCATCTGAGTCACTGCTGTATGAAGTCGCGCTTCTGGCCATGAACTCCGAAGAAGTCTTAAGCGAGAGTCCCCACAAGGAGGTGGGCAACGTCGACAGGAGATCGCTTCCAGATCGTCGCCCTGCCATCCACAGGTGGACGCGACCACCAACAGTTCCGCGGCCCTTCCACCGCCGTTTCCGCCAAGGCCTGGTGCGCAAGCCCATGTCGTACTCGTTTTCCTTTTTCTTTCCCCGTCTTCTTCTCCCTCTCCTCCTCTCTTCTTACACTCCCATCTTTATCTCCTCTCTCCTTCTCCTCCTTTCTCCTCCGTTCTTCTGCACTCATGTGCTTGTGTCTGCTCTCCCCACCTCATCCCCCGCACACGCATGTGTTTACTCCGCCAGCTTCTGCCGACTTCCCGCCAGCGTCCGCTGGCACCGTAGATGTCAACTTCATCGGTTTTGGGAGATGAAGGGGTTTCCGAGCCATCATGGCATACAGCATTCCTGATGCTAGTGATGTCTACGCCAAGTTCCATGCTGAACCTTTGCACTGGAACGGCGTCTCATGCGGTCCAAGCAAACAAAGCCAGATACTAATAGAACTGAGGTTGCCCCTCCAACTGCCTCCACTGCGTTATACATGCAAGCGTAGAGGGAGGGGGACGATGACAAATGTGATACAAACCAGAAGCAATGAGAAAGGCTACGCCACAACATGACATTAGTGTGCCCACTTGCTTCGCGTTCTTTGTCGCAGAGAGGTTCGCCAGATCTCGTCTGACGGGATAAGCTGGTCAGGTCTGCGACTGACAAATGAAAACAACCAACGCCCTGAGTGCGTTCTATGCCCCATCCCCTCTGGATCCGCCCCCTCCTCCTCCTGGAACCTCTGCCCGTGCTCATCGCAGTACCTTCCACTACTCCGTTCCGCGCCTGAACAAGACGCTCGAGAAGCTGCAATCTGTTGGTCGACTCGCTCTGCGCCTGCTCGACCTCGGAGCACATGGCTTCCGCAATCGATGCAACCACCATCTTGTCTTGGGTCGGGCGTGTCCCCCTACAGGCGGATTTTAGACGAAAAGTGCAAGATACCCCCAACATCTCAAAATATGTAAAACAAAAAATGCAAAAATCGTCCGCAGACTAATGTCTTACTACTTTTGAAAATTCCCCCTGTAGAAGGACACCCCGACTAAAATCTTGTCTCATACGAAGGATTATTGTCATCGGCTTGGGACTGATACCGGATTGGGGGTCGAAAGGTAGCACCGCACAATCCTCCTGCACAGCTTTACACTTCACTACTCTCGATGACCTTCACAACACTGGCTGTACTTCGCGTTGAACGAGCCCACTTGAATCTGACATCGCAACGTGGAACTTAACAGCGCCAAACAACTCAGGAACGCAACACACGCCAACATCCAGTCGGAGGGGCAGGGCGAGCCAACCCACAGAAGAGGATGATGGCGACGACCACGACGAGGGAGAGAGAGAGGGAATGAGGACACACATTGCCCAAAAGGTGGGGCTCAACCAGTTTTAACATCTCGGGGCGCAGCAAGCGGCTCTCCAAAAGCGGCAACGCGCAGTGGCCAGCGAGGCTCTCGGATGCGGCAAGGCGCGTGTGCCTGTGCCCGTTTGGGCGAGGCGCGTGGTGCCGTAGTCTCGTAAGCCCTGCAGAACTCTGGCTCACACGACGATTTGCATGGCTGCACGGCAGAAGCTGGAAGTCGGAATGCTGAGGTGGTGTCGGGAGCTCGAGTTCCGCGGCTGGGTGTTGGCTGGAGGTCGATCGTAAAAGACGAAGTAGCACATGGGGCGCGGCAAAGGGGGGCGGACGAGAAGGGTCGATAGGAAGGGGGGGGGCAACGAATTAGCTGCATGCAGCTGTGGATTCCTGGCGTCGGCGGCAAGAGCGCGTCGAGGAAAATGCCTGGCGGCGGGGCCGAAACTGGCTGCATGCAGGAGATGTCGTTACCCCCTCCTCCGTCCGACCCCAATCGAGGAGGGAAAGGGAAAACATACAAATCTGGTCGCAGATGACGCGACGCCTCCGGGTGGAGGCGCGTCACCGTTGAAATTTCAGAGGCGCATCGGTACCCGTCGCTGAACGGACCCTTCAATGTTGGCGGGCGCGCTCGGCTATTGGCGGAATGCCTCCCCGCCCGTGCACCTCGCTGCGCTGGCGTCGGCTCCGGGGGGCGAGGGCGAGCTCCCCGCGGCGCGACTTCCACTTTGTCCCGTGAATCTATGGCCAGGCGGACAGCTGGCACGTTTTTTTTATATATTTTATTTTTTTTGTTAGGCGAACAGCTGGCACGTGGAGCCCGAGGGGGCGCCTCTGGCTGTCGTTGGGAGACCAGCTTGGCAGAAACTGCCGCGGGGGGCGCTGGACCCCCCCCCCTGACAGCGCCTCCAGCGCCGCACCTGGCGCCATCCGCCCGCCGACCCGGGAAGTCCGTGCAGATCTCCGAAAAGTCGCTTTCCCAAAGCATCCTGTGGTGTGGGGTCCGCGCTTTGAAGGGACAGCGCCCTGGGTCCCACCTCCTCTCCTCCTCCTCCTCCCCCTCCGCGTCCGCGCCACCCATTTCGGCACACCACTCACGCTGTTCGTGATCCAATAAGGAGCTCCACCGATCCACCGAAGGCCCCAATGGCAACGTTCCCATGCGTCCCCGCCACCATTTTTGGCACAACCCTCACACGGTTCGTGGCCTAATAGAGAGGTTCACCTAAGGCTGCAGTGGTGATGTCTCCATGCGTCCCCGCAGCCCATTTTGGCACATCGCTCACACGGTTCGTGGCCCCATAGGGAGCTCCACCTAAGACTGCAGTGGCGACTTTCCCATGCGTTCCCGCCACCCGTCGTTTCACAGCTCACACGGTTCGTGGCCCCATAGAGAGGTCCACCTGAGGCTCCAGCGGCGACGTTCCCATGCGTCCCCGCCACCCATTTTGGCACACCCTTCAGACGTTTCGTGACTCCATTGGGAGCTCCACAGAAGGCTGCAGTGGCGACGATCCCATGCGTCCCCGCCACCCATTTGGGCACACCCCTCACACGGTTCGTGGCCTTATAAGGGAGCTCCACCTAAGGCCCCAGCGGCGACGCGCCCATGCGTCACCACCACCCATTTTGGCACATCGCTCACACGGTTCGTGGCCCCATCGAGAGCTCCACCTGAGGCTCCAGCGGCGACGTTCTCATGCGTTCCGGCCACCCATTTTGGCACACCCCTCACACTGTTCGTGGCCCCATAGGGAGCTCCACCTGAGGCGCCAAAGGCGACGTTCCCATGCGTCCCCGCCACCCATTTGGGCACACCCCTCACACGGTTCGTGGCCTTATAAGGGAGCTCTACCTGAGGCGCCAATGGCGACGTTCCCATGCGCCCCCGCCACCAATTTCGGCACACCCTTCAGACGTTTCGTGACTCCATGGGGAGCTCCACAGAAGGCTGCAGTGGCGACGATCCCATGCGTCCCCGCCACCCATTTGGGCACACCCCTCACACGGTTCGTGGCCGTATAAGGGAGCTCCACCTAAGGCCCCAGCGGCGAGGTTCCCATGCGCCCCCGCGGCTCATTTCGGCAAACCCTTCACACGGTTAGTGGCCCCATAGGGAGCTACACCTGAGGCGCCAAAGGCGACGTTCCCATGCGTCCCCGCTTCCCGTTACGGCACACCCCTCACACCGTATGTGGCCCCATAGGGAGCTCCTCCTAGCCCCAATGGCGACGTTCCTATGCATCCGCGCCACTCATTTCGGCACACCGTTCACACGGTTCGTGGCCCCATAGGGAGCTCTACCTGAGGCGCCAATGGCGACGTTCCCATGCGCCCCCGCCACCAATTTCGGCACACCCTTCAGACGTTTCGTGACTCCATGGGGAGCTCCACAGAAGGCTGCAGTGGCGACGATCCCATGCGTCCCCGCCACCCATTTGGGCACACCCCTCACACGGTTCGTGGCCTTATAAGGGAGCTCCACCTAAGGCCCCAGCGGCGAGGTTCCCATGCGCCCCCGCGGCTCATTTCGGCAAACCCTTCACACGGTTAGTGGCCCCATAGGGAGCTACACCTGAGGCGCCAAAGGCGACGTTCCCATGCGTTCCCGCTTCACGTTACGGCACACCCCTCACACGGTATGTGGCCCCATAGGGAGCTCCTCCTAGCCCCAATGGCGACGTTCCTATGCATCCGCGCCACTCATTTCGGCACACCCCTCACACGGCTCGTGGCCCCATAGGGAGCTCCATCGAAGGCCCCAGTGGCGACGTTCCCATGCGTCCGCGCCACCTATTTTCGGTACACCTCTCACACGGTTCATGGCCCCTTGGGGAGCGCCACCGAAAACGGTATCCACAATTGCGGTGCTCACATTTTCGCATGGTTGGGTCCTGCGCCAAGCTAAGTATACTCTTTTGCCCTTCTGCGCATGCACTCGCAGTACACACGTGCCGAGCCCATCCAATTCATGGTTGATCGGTTCATGTTCCTTTGATTGGCCAGTGCATAGAAGGCCGCACACCGGTAATTACCCCAGCAGCACCGGGAACACCTTCGTTAGGCGTTGCGCTGATGTCGAGGCACCCTTTGTGCAGAGCTCTCGTAGAAAGATGGGAAGAGATCAGCAGCAGCGCTGCGCTAGCAAATTCAGAATCGCGCATCGCACTCAGCAGGGGAGACTGGAGGCCCGAAAGCGCGCAAGCGAGTCACACACACTATTGCCCAACCCGATGCTGCAGCATCGACCCCCCTTACTCCTTACCTCCCCATCACTTCAACTCCACCAGTGGTTGACGTCGACAGTCCCCACAGCATCAGCTTTTGCAGTCGAGCTTGTCGGGGTGGGTATGGCGGGTGGCGGTGAGTATCCATCGGTTGGAAGAAGTAGGAAGGCACTGAAAGTAGATTGGGCTCCTCCCGCCCCCTGAGGAGGACGGAGAAGGTGAAGCCACTCGATCATTGAAGTAGGAAGGCGCTTAGAATAGATTGGAAGCTGGGACTCCAAAAATACCTACAGTCGGGGTGGACTGAAGAGGACTCGCGAGAGGACACAAGGCTCTTCCGAGGGCCACATTGCCATATGAATGCAGAAGTATGGGCCGCGAGGCACAGGACACGAGGGTACCCGTAATTTGGCAGGCTCTGCCTACTCATCAGCCTCGACTGTACTCTCCACGACCGATGGGTCTACAAACCCAGCTCGCTGCCTCGAGCGAGCCACGTGCCGCCCGAGCCACTCCCGCCCTCCCTCCCAGAGCATCCACGATCAAGAGGTGCCACGCGTGATGCTGGGACCGGCGCGAGCTCCCACCTCGCGAGCGGAAGACGCTCGCCAGCTCGCGCGCGTGCGCGAGGGCCCTGCTGCCAACGACCCGGCGAGGGAAAGAACGCAGGAGAGCCCAGACTCGGAGTCCGAATCGGAATCGGAACCCAGATCGGAAGCCGAAGTCGAATCGAGTCGGAATCGGAGGCCATCGACATCGAGTCGAATCGGATCGAAGGAATCGAAGTGAGCCCTCGCCGCTCGCGCGCGTGCGCGCGGCCCCGCAGCAGAACTATTATGAAGATGGGAAACCAGCGCGCTCGTGAGCCCTCGTCGCGCGCGCCCTACGGGCCCTATGAAGATGGGAAACCAGCGCCCTCGTGAGCCCTCGTGCGCGCGGCCCCGCACCAGAACTATAATCGAAGTGAGCCCTCGTCGCGCGCGGCCCCACGTGCGCCGCGCACGGGCCGCAGCAGAACTATTATGAAGATGGGAAAACCATACACACACAATTCATCGTCGACTTCCAGGAAATTACGGGGACATGGGAAGTGGGGGGGAGGACGAAAACCCAGATCTTATATGAAAATATGGGAAATCCTCGTATGTGTGTCTATGTATGTATGTGTGTCCCTGGGCCCCTTGAAATCAGACACTCATTGTGCGGCGCTTCGGCGAGAGCACCCTTCGGCCATCCCGCGCGAAGCCAGGTCGTTGTGGTGGGACTGGCGAGGTCAACACAAAAATGCGCCGCGTCCAAAAGCGTGAGCGCCACTTTCAGTCGAAACTTGCGCGGCGCGTGGGCGAGAGCGTCAGTCCGCCATACGCGACCGCATACTCCACAATCCCCTGTCTTCACAATCCCCTGTCCTCGATTTTTCGCCCGCTCGCGCGCGACCCTGCTGCCTGCCGAAACATGCGCCACTGTGGAGGCACATTGGGCCAGGAAAACCTTTGACAACACCCCTTGCAGCACGCGCAAGCGCATTTGGCTGGCGGCCGAGCGGACCATCTTCCGTTCCTCGGCCAGCGCGGCCTTCTCGGTGGCAAGCCTGAATACCTCCTGAGGGCGGAGGCAAGACGGGCATCTGGGCATCTCCAGCGAACAACAGTCGAACGACGAAAGAGAAAGGGACTCACGCACGATGACATCACAACTCTACGCGGTGGCCTACGCAAGCTGCCCGCAAGGAACACTGCGTGGACAATAGGGGTTCATACGGGTCGCCCAGCTGGGCGCGCGCACCCACACAACCCGACCGGACAACCGCAGTTAGCCCCGCTCCCTGGCGGGTGGGGCAGATCGCACATACGAAGACTGCGGTAGCGGAAGCGGACGCCGACGCTTTGGAGGCAACCTTGAACCGCCCGAGATTCCCCCTGGGAACACGTCCAGGACGCGCTGGACTGCCTGGGCCTACGCGGCGGGCCCCACGCAAAACGTCGTACATCAGGGGCCGGGCCACAAGAAACCTTCCACAAGAAGCCCCACCCCGAGACCCCAGGCCGTCCATTGCTTTTTGGGTGTGGGAACGCCGCGATTTCCACACCAAAACCGTCGAAACCCAAGAAACCCAGGGCACCCTGGAGGCAAGCAGGGTGTTTCTTGGCATGGGCCTCCACTGTATGTGAGAACACTGGCCTCCCACTTGGCTCCGTCAGGACGCCCTTGGGCCCTCTACCGTCAGGAACGTTGGGATAATCAGGGTGTCGCCCAGGCGGCCCCGGCGGCACGCCCTGCCCTGCCAGTGGATAGATTAGCGTGCCGCTCCGCTCCGAGAGGCGGGAGGCTCCGAAAGGCTCGGGACATTGACGCCTCGGGACCGCGAAGTGGATAGCGAGTCTGAGGGGCAACGATAAGGGGGGGACTGGCACAGGGGGGGTGCATCGACCTGGAAGCGGCGATACATCGCCGATAGATCGGCGATAGGCCTCCGATCGTGAACCCGCACCCTCTTGGGCAGGTTGGGGCTATCAGACCCCTAATCGGCGATCCATGGGCGATTTGGGGGTCGATGCAGCCCCCCCTGTGCCCATCCCCCCCCTATCGTTGCCCCTGAGAGTCGCTCCAAGGCGCGGTGGGCCAAGACCGGCGGAGCGACGCGCCCTTCAAACGATCCCGACCGTAGGACGACCTTGAAGCTCACGGGGCCGCCTGCCCACGGAGTCGTGGGGCCGTCTTGGGACGGTCTTGAGCCGTCCTGGGCCTCGTGCTGTCTCGGAGCGGTCTCGGGTGGTGTTGCGGCCGTCTTGGCCATCCTTCTGGGGCGATGCCAGGGGAGGAAAGGGGAGACTCCCCCGCTCGGCAAGACAGAAACGATGGAAAGGCCTCTTTCCGAATGTTCTGCCTCTGGCTGGGCCCTGGCATTGCAGTGGAGCTCCCCGAGGGCTCGAGAGCGCCTCGGGGGCTCGGGGGGAAGGGTTGGGCAGTCTTTTCGCTCGCTTGTCAAACGCGCCAGCCGCCGCCCGCCCCGTGGCACCGAGCGCGGGCCAAGGCGAAGAGGGTCTCTGAAAACACGGGCGCCACAGCGCCGGAAAGGACGGCTCGCGGAGCAAGCACCGGAGCGGGCGAGCGCCAGGGGCCCCGCGAGGCCGACGCGTCAGGCTGGGTGCGCCGCCCCTAGCGGGCGAAGCCGTCCTGGCCGTCCGCCTTCATCTCGGCGCCCGCGTACACGTAACCCGGCACGGTCGCGTACACCACCTCGATGGGTGGCTCGACGGGATCCGCCTTCCTCCCAAGCTTCTCGAGGGCCAGCGCGGTGGACTTCGAGAAGCGCGGGTCCGCCACCTCGTCGTCGAGCAAGTCCATGATCTTCCCGAAGTCCTCCGTGAGCACCTCGGTGCCGGCGACGGACTTCACCACCATGCCGCCGGTCACGCCGGCCGCGAACGCCTGGCCCTGGGGGTCCCCCGGGTAGCGGGACACCGGGATCACCTCCATGGCCATCGCGCCCTTCATGCCGTTGCCCGGCTGGTAGCGCAGGATGCCGAAAGGGCGCTTCTTGTAGCTGACGGTGGGGCCGGGGCCCGTGGCGGCCGCAGCGTCGAACGCGATGTCCGCGTCCTTCGGCCCGCAGCGCTCCAGATACTCCGCGCTCACGCGCGCGACCAGGCGGCCGCCGCGCTGGCAGCTGGGCGCAGGCGAGCCCACGAAGCTGGCGCTCCTGCAGCACAGGGCCACGAGCGCGGCCGCGAGCAGGCCGGCGAGGGCGGAGCGCCGGGGAGCCATCGAGCGCGGCGGGGCTTTTTGGGGGGGCGGTCGCGCGGCGCGGCCCTCGGTGGGGTCAGGAAGTGTGACCTGGGCCAAGCCTTGGGCCAAGATGGCTACGTACGGAGGCAACGGCTGGGCCGTCTTGGGCACGTCTTGGACCGTCTTGGTGTGTGCGTGCGCGCGCGCGCGCGTGCGTGTGTGTGTGTGTGTGTGTGTGTGTGTGTGTGTGTGTGTGTGTGCGTTCGGCGTTCGCGTGTGTATGTGCTTGCTCCCTGGCAGTCAGTCAGGGTTCGAGCAGCCGATTACTGCCCGGGGCCTGTGGCCGCCACGCACCTCGTGAAGACCTTCGCCGCCTAAGCATGCTCCCCATCCCCCTGGCTGCTCCCCTCACGCGGCCACCCCCCGCCTCCCGGCCCGCCCCCGTGTGTCCATTTTCGCCGCGTCGCGTCCTGCTCAGGCTCCTACTGCGCCGTGCCGTCCGCCGGCGCCGCGACAAAAGGGTGCGCAAGCGTGCGCGTGTCGCGCGGGGCCTCCAGCCATACTGCGCTCCCTCTTGTTGCGCACAGCAGAACATTCCACCCCCATGATAAGCAACCCGACAAGCGAAGCCGTTTCGACAACGCACCAATGGACGGACTCGAACAGGGCAGGGCTGTTCGGTAAACGTCCATGCAGAGCCGCGTAGTGAACGCCAATTATCGGGTCCGGGTGGCTTGTCCTCCCTTGAATTTGCCTGCACGTTCTGCTCCCCCGCCGCCCACGCCTGGGTAGGCGCAAGGCACGGTCGATCCAATTGGATTGGATCCCTGCTCTTCATCTGACGGGCTGGCCGCTCGCGCGCTCTTCTCTCTTGGGGACTTTCTCCGCCACGTCGCTGCGCGCGAGGCCGCGACCGCCAACACACGTGTCGCGTGGGGGGGCTACTCAAGGGACGCAGCGCGCAGGGGCAGGGAAGTCGGGTGAAGGGGAGGAGGACAGGACACCCTGGCCCGTCTTGAGCCATTTGCCGATTCCACCTCTATCCCGCCAAGCCACAATCATGGCCGCTGTTCAAGTGCACGCTGCGGTCGGGAGCTCTAGCGTAGCACGTCGCGGTGTTGGCCCCGGCGAGACGCTATGCCCTGAAATCGCAAAGCGTGTCGCCCCGCTCCGCTCCGCGGGGCGGGAGGCTCGGAGAGGCTCGGGACGTTGACGCTCAGGGACGTGGGCGTGGATAGCGTGTCGCACCGAAGCGTGGTGGGCCAGAACAACCGAAGCGACACTTGTGTGGTGTGATTTCAAACTCGACGAGCCCCCCCTCAACGTTAGGCAAACACACACGAAAGAGAGGCAGGGGCAGTGACACCAGGAGGAGAAGAGAGCATACACATATATCTATATCTATATACAGAGAGAGAGGAGGAGAGAGACATAACAGGCCCAGAGAAAGAGGCCCGGCGGCTCCATCTTCAGCGAGTTCACGACCTCGTCGAACAACTCCTGCGGGCGGAAATCCGTGCGGCGAGGACGGCGGTCGCACAGCAGCCGGGGAGAGAGAAAGTACGAGGATGAAGAGTAAGAGAGGGTGGGAGAGGAGGAGGAGGAGGAGGAGGAGGAGGAGGAGGAGGAGGAGGAGGAGATAGAGGAGATGGAGGAGGAGGAGGAGGAGAAAGCACGGAGAAAAATGGCGACGACCGGGACGAGGCTCCTGTAGTCGGAGGATCTGCGGGTTCAGCCCGTGGCCGAGGCCCTCGGCACTGCCGGGGGGCGCCAGCGCTGCCATTCCGCTGGTCGCCCCCCTTGCGCGCTGCGCGCTCCCAAGGGCCAGGGAGGCTACAAGCCAGATGCCTCCGGCAGGGTCGCGACGATCGTCGCGCCTCCTCCTCTTCCTATTCCTGCTCCTCCTCCTCCTCCACCTCCTCCTCCTTCTTCTTCCTGCACCGATGGAGGCCGAAGACCGCGCTGAAGAATCATGCAAAAGAGAGGCAGCAGCGGCGGCGGCAAGACAATTAGCGGTGCCTGTCCGACGCAAACTGCCCCCACCCGTGTCCCTCGTAGAACGGGTCGAAGGGCACGAACAACTCCTCGACCTCCGCTGGAACCTCGGGCAACGTTCCTGCCTATAATAAGGTCATGTCTGAAGGGGCCGCCAAGAGCAGAGACTGTGCAATGACTTTGGAGAGCAGAGACGGGTACTGTTTGGCAGCGGCGGTAAAAAACTGCCCATTCGCACGGGTGCCCACCAACTCCTCAGGATGCGACGCATGATTACATATACCGCTGCCTGGGAGCTGGCGGATCAAATCTTTCAAACCAGGAGAATTGACAGCAAGAAGGGTCGTCGGTTTCCGAGATCGGGCCCCGCACTGGCACTGATCAACATTCAAAAACTCCACACGTGCACGTCGGGACATGCCTCTCATCGCTCGAACTTCTGGCAGCCGCCAGATTGAGGGGAGGTGAGGAGGAGGAGGCGCGAGGGGGTGTTCGACGATGCAAGCAATACCCTTCGCCATGCACACATATGCTACCTGCAACATGGTCTGGAGCAAACGATTGCCAAGCACTATTTGTTCCCATTCGGACCGCGAGCGAGCAGGCAGGCCCCAGAGCCACTTGTCGGATCTCAACACCCGTGGCCTGTCGCCTCCGCACGGAGGTGGGTTAGCTCTGCCTTTAGACCAGGTCTCGCACGGGGGTCCTCCGACCGCGCCCAGCACGGCGCCGTCCCATATTAGCGACAGGATCTGCTGCACAGACTTTTTCTGAGTGAGATCACCACGAACAGGGCTGTTAGCCACGTCCACAGATAGCATGATGACTGGCAACAACGATTGTGCCTGAAAGACTTCAAAATGGGCCTGGACGTCATCCGGACGCCTCTGTCCGCTAAAAAAATGGAGATAATACCTCGTGAACGTCGGCTGTCGAGGGAGCCCAGACGAAAGCACGTCACACTCCGCATGGTGCTGGGCTCGCTCCACACCCTCCGTAGTCGCCCTGATGACGACTGGATCCACCTCGCCTCCCAGGGCAGGGCCAATGATCCTCACGGGCGGTCCTGCAGCATAGTTCTGGCACTCCCCGCGCATACGGGCAGCGCGCGCCTCACGGGCGTCTTCAGCACGGAGCTCACACACCTGTTCAACTGATAGCGGTTCCATATGATGCACCAGCTGAGCTAAACAGTACCGCGACCCGAAGCGGAGATGTCGAAGCAGGCGGCTGCGCCTGCTCCAATCCAGACAGCATGCTTGACAGACCGTGCCCACTGCGACGCGTCCCGCCAGATCGAACACTGGATGAGCCAGTGTCCGATGCCGCGACCATGCCACCTTGGAATTGAAGACTAGGTCGCAGTCCCGACAGGGATAAACAAGCTCGCTCGCCGCAGGCTTGAGTATATGGGGTACGGGAAGGTTACCGCGCAAACATATATCATGCAAATCGCTTCTCCATACAGCTACCTCGGCCAACGCTAAGTGTTCCGCTAGGGCACTGCGCTCGGCCTCCCGACACCAGGAGGTCCACGTCGCTCTGTCCGTGCGGGCCATGTAAATCCACCAAGACGTGTCGCCAACGGGACGGTGTATCGCAGGCGCGCTGATTCGATCGGCCATCCACACAAGATCTGCGCCGAGCATCTGAGCCCAGCTGCCCTTCGCCTCGGTCAAGGCGTCCAACATGTGCAAAAGGCCCTGGGAGGCGGAGTCCAGGAGTTTGGGCAAAAACCGAAGCCTCCTCAGCTGGATCACGACGAGAGGCGGCAATCGGCGGCAGGCAACGTACAACTCATGGGTGGACCAGGCTCGCAAGTCATCCTCCTCCTGACGCCTATACCCCATCGCGGCCTGCATTGAGGCCAAGTAAGCAGTTTCAAGGAACCGCTGGTTACCACACGAAAGCCCTGACCACACGGCACAATGGAACATGACCCGACTGTGGCAGTAAGCAGCCCCAAACTTGTACTTATGAGCCACAGCCAAGTCGTTATTGTTTTTAAACACAGCACGCTTAAGAGCACCCAGAACGCCTAGCTGTGAGCGGTGGCGGTGCATGAGCTCCGCCGTCATAGTACGCGACGCGTGGATCATGGGTCCAAGATGCTTGCAAACGTTGGCCATATAAACGCATTTGCCTATACTCGTAACCTGAAACTGACCCTTCATATCTGCAAGCTCAGCCTGCACTGAACCTTTCCCCGCTCCTTCAAGCCCAAAAAGCAAGGTCGACTTACCCTCCCCATAGTTAACGACGAAACCAGACGGCGACATGACCTCATGCACAATACGAACAACGACGGAGGCGAGGCGAGGACAGTCACGTGCGCGCGTGCTCATCTGCAATACAGCCAAGTCGTCTACATAGGACGGTGATCCGACGACGGAATCAGTGTCACGCTCCCTGTCACGAAAGCATTTGGGCAATTCTGGCAGCAACTCCAGAATATCTATCGTGATACCTTCTGCAAAGAATCTACCTCTCAGCTTCTCATGGACAGGGGCAAACGCAAGAGTGAAGAAGACATCGGCTGGCGGCATGCCCGGTCGTGCACCTATGACAGCACGCGCCGCCGACTTTGCTCCCTTCACTTGAAACCAGGTGCACGAGTTGACGTCCTGCACCGTGTCTTGCAGGTGCTTGTCACCAACTCGCTCAAAGACAGTGGGTTGAGCCAAAACCTCACGCAACACCCCTTCCAATGCAAATGGCAAGGCAAGATCGTCCACGACGTCTTCTAGTTCGCTCGCGGCGGACGGCAACGGCACCAGAAATTCACGGATAACCGTATGGAAGGCGGCCTTAAGGTCCGTAAAGTAGAGCACCGTGGAACATCCCCTCGAATGAGCGAAATCCTGGAAGACCCTAACCTGTAATGACGCACTAGCTGTACCCCTGCCCGCACGTCCCCCGTGTTGGTCAATATCAAGCAGGGCCGACGCCACTTCCACAATTTTGCGCCGCAAAAATTTATGGTGATGTTTGCACACATGCACGCCCAAGAGAATCTCACGAAAATTGCTAAGCAAGCGGGGGTCCCCTTTCTTAAAGAGGTCGTGTGCGACACCCCCTTTCCAAGCCAAAGGCTCTCGACAGGTGAGCTGGACTTTAGTCAGCAGAGGGAGCAACATACGAGCACACACATCGGGGGCAGCCAAATATACATCGTTTGTGAGCAAATCGGGGCCACCTGCTTTCTTGCGCGAAGCGCGAAGCAGGTCACAACGCAGGGAATCAAGGGAATGCATACTAGACAACTCTCTTGCGCCGACGGACGTGAATGCTTTTTGCTGCGCATTGTAGGCAACGACCAACTCTTCCACAGTGCAGATGGACGCCTTCTCTGCCGCAGCGAAGTGCTGCAACAGCCCGTACGCGAGAGCCTCTCGCGATTCAAAAGGGACACCAGTGGTGTCCAATCGCATGGGTAGCGCACCCTTGTCACCTTTGCTGCGAGAGCCTCCAAAGGCCATCAAGCACGACATCCAACCCCATTCCTCCCGGCCATCACTGGCAGCAATAGCATCGTTGACTTTTTGGGCCCCTTCGACAAGAAAATCGGCACGGTCCCCTCTCAGCTTTTTCCTAATAGTGCGCTGAGACGTCCGAAGAAACATAAGGCAGGTTTCGTGAAATTCCTGAACCCCCTGGAGCTGCTCAACCCATAGTCTGGCTCCGAAAATCATGACGCCCACACATGCGTCGAAGTCGGGAAATGCAAGCCTGGCCGCGGCAATGTCAGGCTCGTCGTCAGCCTGCACGAGGGATACGGCAAAACTCAGCAGCGGACGGGCATCACAGTTGCGAAAGGCACGCAAGACACCACGAACAGTGCGCCGAAGGCGGATGGCCCACAGCGTTTCAGCTCGAATATAACTGCGCACTGGTCCCTTCTTACCACGGGCGAAGTTGTTGACAGCACACTGGTACATCATACTTGTGAGCATTTCAAAATGACGGTTCACATCAAGGGACCAGTGCAGGGGGGGGGGCAATCCAAGAGATCCTTCTCGAACGCCTCACGCTTGACAGGGCCACGCGTGGCAGCCACATCTATAGCGGGGACCCTTTTACCAACCATGATGTGCTCATTCCACCGAAACTTAGCATAAACGGGGTAGTGGTCCTGGTGCCTGCGGTCGACGTCGATATCGTGCAGGACCCCATGCTCTGTAACATGGCATGCCAAGCATAGCGGAGCACAGACGTAGTCGATGCGATGCTGGGACCCAGAGTGGTGCATGTATGTGTATGTAGGCGTGGCCGCAGGGGACATGGTGGTGACGGCGGCCAAACGTGCCTCACATAACAGAGCATGAAAAAAAACTGCCCGTTACTGTCTTCCGAAGTACCTCCGAAAGTCCCCACAACCTCTGACTGTTTGTCTCCCAAACGTGCATTGGCATCTCCTAAAATGAGATCAACGCCAAAGCGGCTGACGAGCTTCTTAGCATGGTCCCACCATCGCTTGCGAACAGCTATCGTCGCCTCGGGGCAGGGTGCATGACAGACCATGACGACTGTGCTCCAATGCGGAGCGCTGATCTTGACAACCAGGCTCCGCGGCTCCGCCTCCACGACGAGACAATGAGCAGCTTTGAGATAGACGTCCTTTCCCCCAACTTTGGCATACGGAACCGCGGCATTGACCCAAAGCTCACAACCAAGATTTTTACCACCCTCGGGGCCCGTCGAAAAAACAGAAAAAGCCATCAGCAGACCTACTGCCCCTGGGGGTCCGCGCTTCCTGTATGCCAACCAACAGCACCGCAGCCTCTGCGAACTGCTGCCTAAGCCACTGCCCTCGAAACACTGTGCGTTCGCCTTGAACGAGGTCCTGAGCGGTTTCAGCGTTGTAGCTGGCAAGCACGAAGTCGCGAAGCACGGCCTTCTCCACACTCTCGCCGCAATCAAACTGTCCACAAGTCTCGGGGATGGCTTGCACGAAGGTGCCAGCACCTGCAACGTCACAACACTGCGGATGGTCTGGCATACGAAATTGGTATTGCCCGTTAAAGGGATACTGTTGTCGCTCAGCTGACCCTAGCTCTGCGATCCAGTTCCAAGCCAAAGATGGGGTAAAATACATCTCGCGCACGAGAACAGGGTCCACACAATCATACTGGAGGGTGCGTGTGGACTTCGCAATGTCATCTGCCAGCTCGTTCCAACAATTCTTATTGTGCCCATATATGTGCAACAACGCTATGTGGACCCTGGCACGCGCTAGCTCATATAGATGTCTGGCAAGGGCAGCAAGCTGAGGCTCGGCGTGTCCAACGCTAATGCCCAACGTGATATCTATGGCAACCTGCGAGTCAGACATGATGGCAACGGGAAACCGAGACCCCAGGTCCCCTCCTACCTCAGCCTGCGCAACGGTCCAGACCAGGGCCCAGACGATGCCAACAAGCTCAGCTGCGACGCTGCTGGCTTCCCTTTCGAGATTGAATCCAAGCGTGGCAACAACCTCCCCGGCCAAAAAACCCAAAAATCGGACATCGCCTTCCTCATCCATGCAAGTGGCAATCATGGCCCAGCCACTCGACCCTTCGTCCTTGGTGAGGGAGCCGTCGGTATAGAGCGCGACGGGGCCGAGGGGGCGGTCACACCGCTCTGCGACACCCAGCGCAAACTCAGACACCAACTTGAGTTCGACATTGCCTATGTCGGTGAGCAACCTGACAGGGGCCTGAGCAGCGATACGACGAACGATCCGATCAGCACCTGCAAAGTCACAACTTACATAGCCATGGGCAGGACTGATAAGCGTATCCAAACATATGACCATTGGTGTCGGGCGCCTACCTGGGTCCTCATCGCTTGTGACGCTGCAGTCACCAACAGGCTCATCAGCAACAAACGTTAAAACGTCCACGCCACCCCAAGACACGGACCGCTGGGCCAAAACGCGATTGGTGCCTGAGGTTGCGCTGGGTGCAATGGCATTGTTGGCTGGCGTGCTCGCAAGAGGCGTATTCCCATCGCCTGCAAGCTCAAAACCGCCGAGCTCAACATCTGAGCGACTGTTGCTTAAATGCATGTCACTCTCGCAAGCCCGCTGGCATAGGTCCCAGTCAGCTAGCTCGCAAGAGCCTAGACTTGCACTGTCAGAGTAATCCTCCCCCCCGACAAGCCTCCACCCGCCCGACCACCCATCCTGACTAGCACCCGGCACGCATGGATCGCATAGCTGCCACTCTGCGTCCTCCGCGCTGGCGGATGCTGCTGCTGACTCGCGCTCTCGCTGGGATGCGCTCACCTGCAGAAGGCTCGTGTCAGACGCCTCGTCATTTAAGATAAGACCCATCCAATCATCATGGGCGGCATCATCACCCCACATGTAGGCCATGGTGGCCCAAGGTTGAGACTGACCTGAAGGCGAACGCTCAAAAATTCGACGCGCATGATCAGCTGTTGCATACTCGGGAGTATTGGCTGCACGGATGGTCCCGTCCCACCTGACCCGCCACTCCCCATCAAGAGAAAAAATGCACAGAGGCGAAAAAGGTGCATGGTCATAGCTTGAGGCCGTTGATCTGGTCGTCCAGGTAGGTGCCGCAACATCCCTGCAGGCACCGCCAACACCAGCAACGACCTCCGCAATCATGCACCGCCTGCCGGCGCCGCTGGCTGGGCCTTGGCCCTGGCTGCTGCCGTGCGAGCCTCTGGCACGGATGCGGTCTGATTCCTGGGCTCCTTCTTCGGCGGTGACGACAATTCCAAATCCCTTTTCTCTTTGTCGAGCCTGCGGATCTCCTTCTGCACAGTAGAGTCCGTCGGCGACGTGTAGGTTACGCTGTGCTGCGGCGGTGCCACGTACGGATCGTCGATCTGAGAGCTGTTCACCATCGGCTGGGTCGGCGAGATGGGCGACGGCCAGACGGGCGGCTCCACCTGCGCGGGCTCCGCCTGCTGCGTCGCGGCGATCGGGGTGGTGTCGACCTCCCTGGCGTCCTCCGCGGGCGACGGCGGCTTGATGGGCGCGGCTGGCGACCTCAAGCCCCCTGTGGTGCCCACGATCGGCGTCCTGGGCGCTGGCGTCTGCGGCGTCGGCGGCGTTGGCTGACCAGGCGGCGGCGAGCTGGGGCTTGCCAATCGCCCCTGCGGCGGCAGCGGCGACGCGTCCACCACCATCGGCTCTGGCGCAACTGGGGGCTGCGACGACGCGGGCATGACTGGCGGCTGCAAGGGCGAGGACGCCATCGACGGCCGCGGCGTCGCCGTGCCGTACATCGCCTCGTGTGCCTGCTGCACCGCCCTCGCCGCCGCCTCCTGCTCCACCTGCCTCGTCGTCTCCGCCGCCGCTGCCTGCGCCGCACTGGCCGCTGCCTGCGCCGCCTGCCCCGGCGGCGCCTGAGTAAACCCCATCGCCTGCATCATGAACTGCATCTGCTGATCCTGCTGTGCCATCTTTGCCATCATCTGCTGCATAATGACCTCCATCGGGCTGGGAACGGCGGGCGGCGGTGGCGGCAGGTGCTGCTGGTACATGTTCGACGGCTGTCCAGGATGCACTCCTGGCTGCGGTCCACCATGCACAGGCGCAGCAAAGCGCCCAGGCGGCGGCCCGACCGCATCCTGTCCGCTTTCCTCTTCCTTGCGCTGCTCCTCCAGCTCGGCCACGTAGTCGCGGAGCCTCTCGAGCTCCTCGAGCTGCTCGTCCTCCTGCTATTGGAGCATCTTTACTCTGGCACGCGTATTCTTGAGCTTCTCGACCGCTTGATCCTTCTTCTGCCTCATGGCAGCCAGCTGCTGCCCTGTTGGCTGCGTCAACCCCATCATGCACTTGAGCACGGACAGCTTGGTGTCCAACTTCCCTGCCTCGACAGTGTCTGCCGCGCGCTTGGCTGCAAGCGCCATGGTCGCATACTCCACCATGCGACTGCGGGTATCGTCCTGGTAGCGCTTCTGCTGCACAGGGTCGTTCGTCGGGGGGTCGATGTAGCATTCGTACTCGACTGCTTCTGCACGAGTCATGGGAATGACCTTCGACACGTATTGCTTGATCTGCTTGTCTGGCTCCACTCGCCCACGGCGACTGGGGCGGCTTGCACTGCGGTCGCGCTGCGCTGCCTCCCGCCTCGCCTGGGGCAGCCTGCTCCTCTCGATGGTGGCGTCGGCCCTCGGCCGTGCTGACTGGTGAGGCTGTCTCTGCACCTGCTCTCCCTGGCGCAGGCGATTGTCGAAATGGCATCCACACAAGCATCTCTGGTGATTTTTCACGTAGCGTCCGCACGGGCATGACCAAGTTCCAAACATCTGAGCTGAGTGGTGCTCCTGGATCACCTCCTGGGCCCTGAGCACTGCTAGGAGGACCCTGGCACGCTGTCTCTTCTGCCGCTGCCGTTTGTGCCAAGAAGCCTCCTTGGGAGGCGGAATGCTGACTGACTGGGTCCGATCGCGCACACCCCAGTTACCAGCAAAGCAGCTGAGACTGGCCAGGGGTGTGGCGCCTAAGCCAAGGGCAAGACAGACGCCAAAAAGGATGTCCTGTGCCCAGATGGCTTACCTCCTCCTCCTCCTCCTCCTCCTCCCCGTCCTCATCCCCCCCGTCCTCCTCATCCTGTTTTTGCTACGTCTCCCATCGCGTTCCTCCCCCAGCCGCGCGCCAAAGCACCGAGCCGTGCACTGTGCTCTACAGCAAATGTTTACGGCGACAGCAAAAGGGAATACTAACCGAACCGATGGCGAAATCGAAAAGACTGAAACCGGCAGGCCGCAAGCAGCACATGAGGCGGCAGCGACGCAGCGACGACACAACTACCGACCGACCCGAAAACCGACCGAACGCAACCGAAAGCAGCCGCGCGGACCGAACCGCAGACCTCCTTGAAGGACGTACGGCAGGTTTGTGTCGTGACGACCCCGTCGTTGGCTTCCGACACCGACTGCTGAACTTGTCGGCGAGCGAGGGGGGGCAAAGAAACCCTTAAGCAGCCCAGCGACAAACCCAAGCAGCACCCCTTGCACCCTAAATTCCTCGCTTCCTCCGCCCTTCTCCTTCTCCTCCTCCTCCTTCTCCTCCACCTTCGCGGGCATGACAAAACACCCACCCACTCCAGCTCCAACACCTAATTACCGAGAATCCTAGGCGTCTCAACTCCGCTGGATGTCGGCGGAATGGCCACTTGAATAAATCTTGCCAACATCTGTTTTTATTGTTGGTGTTCTCTCTCTCTCTCTCTCTCGATATATATATATATATATATGTAAATGTGTATATATATAGAAACAGAAGCACGGCATTGACCTAATTCCCCAGAGATCCGCGCGGATTTCTTGGATCGGCGCTGGGCCCCACTCCATGGGGCGCAGAGCTCAACAGGGGCGGCGTTGGAGGCGCCGCCAGAGGGGCCCCTGCGCCGATACAAGCAATGCGAGCGGAGCTTCGAACAGTCATGTGCACGCAGTTGTTTGCTCTTCGGCTCTCTCTGCCATCGGGGTCAACGATACGAGGGAGCTGGCTCGAGGGGGGACGCGTCAAGAGCACATCGGCGATGCATCGTAGATAGATCGGTGAGAGGCCCCCGAACGTAAATCCACACGCTCCCTGGCGGAGAAGACTATGGGCCATCGGGCCCCTCTCGGCGACCAATGGGCGACTCGGGGTCGATGCGCTTCCCCCCGAGCCTGTCCCCCCGGACGCGCCCCTGGTTTTCGGGTCATATAGCTCGGCTTCCTGCGGCCGCCCGGGACTATCCAGGCACCCCCGGAGCGCCCTCGGCGAGGCGCAACATCTGGAAAACCACCCCCGGCCACGACAACCTCTGGGAACCTCCGGAGAATCTCCGAAAACCTCCGAGCACCCGAGGAGGAGGAGGAGGAGGAAGAAGAGGAGGAGCAGGAGGAAGAGGAGGAGGAGGAGGAGGAGGAGGGGGAGGAGGAGGAGGAGGACGAGGAGGAGGAGGGAGGAGGAGGAGGAGGAGGAGAGGAGGAGGAGCAGGAGGGAGGAGGAGGAGGAGGAGGAGGAGGAGGAGGACGAGAAGGTCGTTGCCCCTGGTGCTCGCGCGTGCGGAGCGGCGGCGGTGGGGCCTCCGGGCCGCGGAGGCCCGCCAGCAGAGGCCGGTGGCAGAGGCGTGCGCGGGCGGAGCGCGGGCCGCGGGCGGGCGGCAGAGAGGCAGCCGCTGCCGCCGCGGCCGCCGCTCCTTCGCCTCCGCCTCTGCTCTGGCTGCTCCTGCTGCTCCTCCTCCGTTTCTTCCCCTGCCTCCTCCTCCCCCTCCTCCTCCTCCTCCTCCTCCTCCTCCTCCTCCTCCTCCTCCTCTTCCTCCTCCTCCCCTCCTGCCGTGGCTGCTGCTGCTGCTCCTCGTCCACCCTCTCCTCCACCCTCCTGCCGTGGCTGCGGCTGCTGCTGCGGCTGCCGCGTGCCGCTGCTCCTCTTCATCCAACCCAGCGGCTCTCCTCCTCGCCACTGTCCCCGCCGCCCTCGCCCTGGGCAGCCCGCCGGCTTTCCCGCTGGGCCCTCGGTCGCGCTCGCGTCCCGCCCGGCGGCCAGCGCGGGCAGGGGCAGCGTGCAGCAACGCAGCCCGCCGCCCAGGCACGCCACCCGCCCCCAGGGCTGCGGTACGACCTCGCACGCCGCCAGCGCCTGGTCCGAACGGCACGCCTCCCGCACTGCCTGGAGCGCCCCGGCGTCGCTCCCCGCTTCCCCGAACTGCGGCACCAGCACCGCCCCCTGCGTGAAGATGATGTTCGTGTAGCTCCGCTCCTGTGGGTGGCGACATCCGAACCAGCCCCCCACCCCCCACCAACCATCGATGCTCATGAATCGAGGCGGGTGTAAGGTTCGGATTTTGCCACGCGCTCGGGGAATTCCGAACCCATCGAATTCCCTGCATCGTTGACCGGCGAAGTCGGGTTCGCATTTCAACGCCGATCCTGGCTCCGGCCGTACCACCTGAGAGAGCAAAAAACAAAACACCCTCATAGTAAGCACCCTGACAGAAGAAAACCGTTTAGTAAGCGCACCCACGGAAGGAATCGAGCGAGGCAGGTCTGCTTCGTAGACGCCCAAGGTCTTTCAGCAAACGGCAAGTATCAAGTTCTCTTGCAAGCCACGGAGCCTCCCATACCATGTTGCTGGCTCTTGCGAATCGACGCTCGTCGACGCTAGATCGACGCTAATCGACGCTACATCGAAGCTGTTCGACGCTAGATCATGCTGTCCCATCGACTACCCGACGCAAATAAGCGCTGATGCCCCCGAACAACAGAACTACGGGGCAGAGAAAGCCCCCGTGACTTGCGACCCAAATAGGGGGGCCAAGGCGGCGCACGCAGGAAGAGGAGGAGGAGGAGGAGGAGGAGGAAAACCAGGAGGAGGATATAGAGGAGCGGAAGGAGGAGGAGGAGGAGAAGGCGGAGGCGGAGGAGGAGGAGGAGGAGGAGCAGGAAGAGGAGGCGGAGGTGGAGGTGGCGGTGGAGGAGGAGGAGGAGGAGGAGGAGAAGGAGGAGGAGGAGCAGGGAGAGGAGGAGAAGGGGGAGGAGGAGGAGGAGGAGGAGGAGGAGGAGGAGGAGGAGGAGGAGGAGGAGGAGGACGGCAACGAGGGCAAAGACAATGCGAGCGCGAGTCGATTCCGCGCTCCTCGGCGCATGCCGCGCGCCGACGCCCCACACAGAAGGAATCCCAACCCCGTCAGAGTGCTCCCTGGGCAGCGGCGGAAACCCAAAAGGGCCGACGAGGCCCGCAGGCCGCCCAGGCCACCGAGGCCACCCCGCCCCCACACGCACCCCAGAACCCAGGAACCCAAGGAGCACGTGAGACGGAAGGGGCCCCTCGAGGCCCTACATGCCTTAGGGCTTCCCCGAGTGGCGACACTCGACGAACCCCCGAACCTTGAGGTATTCCCAAAACTGCTTCACACACACATTCGAGAAGCTTACGCGCATGTGCCATTCGAGCCCGTCGAAATGCATGCGCTCCTCTCCTTGCTCTGCACCTTGCTGTTCTCAACGGCGCTGCCGAAGAGCACGCCCCGGCCGCGCCTCTCGGCGCAGCGCAAAAGGTCGGCGGCGCTGAAGTTCCACTGCAGGGACCAGTCCACCTCCACCAAGCTGAGGAAGGTCGAGATGGTGAGCTTCCCGTCGTCCTTATACCCTGCCCCGCGGATATGCTGGTCGCTGGTGCCCTTCTCAGTATTAGTAATTTCCTTATGTTTCTTTTCTTCTCAGCGTCAGCCTCGCTATCGAGGACGCTGTCGGAGTCCTCGGCGGCGCCCTCGATGACAGGGTCCCCGATGAAGAACTCCTCAACCTGCACTTTGCCTTATTCTCCTTCCCTCCTGACTCCAATGCCACTGGCGAGACGAGCTGGGGGAAGCTCGGCACCATAGGCAAATCCACCTCCCCAGGAGTCGGCCTGGGGTCCTTCTGGTCACACATCTGACTCGGTTCTAGTCCACCTGCTGCACGTTCCTGGCCAGACGCCTCCTTGACTCGAACAGCTTCCTGGCCAACATGCGGCGCGACTTCAAGTCCGAGTCCGCGCTCCCCTCCTGCACGCCCTGCACCTCCCCGGAGCTCTGCGAGTGCACTGGTGGCGCTGGCGGCGTAGGCGGCGACGGCCTTGCCCTCGCCTTCGCCTTCGCCTTCGCCTGGTGCTGCGCCTGGAGCGCCAGGAACCTCCGCTGGCTGCTGCGGCCAGGACCCAGCACAGATGGCCCCAGCAGGGTGCCAACAGAGGCGCTGGACCTCGCCTGCGCCGCCAGGCGCCGCGCCCTTGACGACGGCGGCCGAGTGGGGAATCCCAGCACGCGCTTCGCCTAGCGCGACTTCTCCACCGCCTTCAAGTACAAGAAGTCCGTACTCTCCCTGCACGGCTTGGACAGCGGCCCCTAGCCCAGGTCGCTCAGCACCTGGGGCGACTTCGCCACCACCTTCTCCTGCTGAAGTTCGCGCCCGTGGTCTTCTTGTCCAGCTTGGACGGAGGCCCGTGGCCCAGCCCCAGTGCTGCCAACGAAATCGACATCGACGCCATCTCCCGCACTCGGGCCTTCACCGCCCGCAGGTCCGAAAGCCACGTCGGATGCTCGGCGCCTTGGACTCGGACGCCATCGATCAGCTGGATCTCCACGGCGCTGAAGTCGATCTGCTCCACGAACTGGCGCGTCGCGCTCGCCAGACTGAGACAAAATCCTTCTCCGCCAGCACCTGGGATGGCAAAGGGAAGCGGAGGAGCATCAGCACATGGCTCGCGGGCGCTGCGCCGCTCCCAATCGCGCGCCCGTCTGCTCGGGGGCCCCGCTCCCGAGAGGAACGGCTTGCGCCAAAATGGCTACGGATGAGGAGGAGGAGGAGGAGGAGGAGGAGAAAAGGAGAAAGAGGAAACAAACAGAAAAAAAGAAGGAGGAGGAGGAGAAGAAAGAGGAGGAGGAGGAGGAGGAGGAGGAGGAGGAGGAGGAGGAGGAGGAGGAGGAGGAGGAGGAGGAGAAGAAAGAGGAGAAGGAGGAGGAGGAGGAGGCGGAGAAAGAGGAAACAGAGGAAAAATAAGAGAAGGAAGGGCGAGCTTCTTCCCCGCCGAGCAAGAACGGGCGGGGGGTACAGAACTAGAGACACCTGAAATTACCCGACGCAAGCCGACGCTGAGGCACTCAAGCGAATAGATTACGGGGGCAGGCACGGCTCCCATTATTTGCAAACGAAATTGGAGGCCACGGTGGCGCAGGCAGGAAGAGAGGAGGCGGAGGAGGAGGAGGAGGAGGAGAAGGAGGAGGAGGAGGAGGGGGAGGAGGATGATGATGATGATCATGAGGAAGAGGAGGAGAAGGAGGAGACGGAGGAGGAGGAGGAAGAGGGGAGGGGGAAGAGGAAGGACGAAGGTCTTCCCCGCCGAGAGAAACAGGGGGGCAAGTGCAAAACTGAAAACCTCCTGAGGCGAACCCCATGCCGGTGATAGTATTCCCCTGGTGATGACGAAGACAAGGGTCCAGGCAGGATAATATGGTCCAAAGACATAGATGTTAGGATGTCTGGGTCGGTCTTCAAGATCGGTCTTCAAGAGCCTCCATGCTTCTTCTAGACGGCCTCTTGGACAGGTGAGAAAAACACAACCCCTGTGAACCACAGTGGTGGAATAGCACATTGATCCCTCTCGGTGACCCTCTTTGGAGATGTGGGGTCATTACGGATGACCCCTCTCGCCTGAGACATCCTCAAAGCA